ACTGAATGATGGTTAGATAATTAACTTAGCCATGTCGGAGACAATTGAGCTGTTTTCTTGGGAGGCGGACTGAGGCGCGTGGTTGACCACCGTTGATGGCAGAACGATCTCAGTATTCTCTGAGATACTTGGATGATTCATTATGATTAATCGTTAACTAAGTATCCAGATCTCTGCGGAGATGCATTGACATCTGGGTTCATGTAGAGGGTGTCCAAGTGAGCTACATCTCCGCCGACAATGATCGTATTCCCCTTCCGTCACTCTCAGCGAAACTACGCCGGTGCGGCCAGTGGTAGACGCTCGGTTGACAAACACAATACTACCCACTGCGACATACGAGGGCCCAACTGTATCGGCCATTCTCAAGATAATTCGCACAATTATACAGTACTCTTGGGCGGCTTCTATAGACATCAGTAAAGCATTCTATCGCTTGGGTGCGGAGCTGTGAAAATTGCCTAATCGAATAATATAAAAGTCTTCGCAAGCTCCAATGTAGATATGGTTCTCAGAATACAACATTTTGTTGATCTGATCAGAGCGAAGTTTTACTGAAGGGATACGTTCCTCTCGAGAGGATAGTTCTATCCCTTATTGGGAGCGACCACAATGGAACTTCTTACTTGCACCTACTCCGGCTACTGAGAGTATTGTATGTTATACTCAGTGTGATATTGTCTGTTTCTACTCTTGAGTGTTTGGCGTTTGACACGTCATTTCATCTTCTTCCTCCCCTCTGAAATAGAAAATAACAGGTTGCGATGGCTTGAATCTGAAATCTAACGAGTTGCTATTCACCATGCTAAAGCCTGTTGACCAGGTGAGAAGAATACGGAGGTTGGATTCGTGGCTTCGATATTCGGCCTGTCCTCGCTGGTCCTGGCCATGCCAGCTGGTTGGCTCATCGACAACTACAGTCGTGCGAAGTTATTGAGCATAGGCTCAGTGGTCCTCACAGCAGCGCTCTTACTATATTTGTAAGCTCATCCCTCGTATACATTTGCGGAGTAACAGAGACGATTCGACTCGTTGTGAGTCAGTGTCGGAATATATGTTTGGTTCCCTCAGCTGAGCACAGGAGTTGTTTCGCAAATTATTGGAGCTCACATGCGGACTCTGGTAGAAGTGTACAGAAATCCAATAAAAGCTCCCGAAAATTCCTTAGCATTTCCATATTGTCAGCATCACATGTAGTTGACCATGTGCATATTCTCCCACACCGTTGTGCATCTCACGCGTATGCTGTTGATTGATGAATAATGTGATGTCACCATTGATATTGCCTCAGGTATGGCGTTGTCACTGATAACCTCATTCTGTTGTATGTGGTGTTCTTTATTTATGGTGCGCAATGGGTGATACAGTCATCAGCCTCGTACTCCCTTTTTGCCGACTCCCTTCCACATGGTCAGAGAGCTGATGCTATGAGTACGGTGTCGATCCTTCAGAACGTAGCAGGGGGCACTGGGCCCTTCTTGGGCGTTGTACTTGTTCACATTTTGGGAAATGAATGGCAACTGCCAATTCTCCATAGAATAATCGTCATAGTTGGTCTTGTGGAATTCCCCACAAATTGGATCAACACTTTATGGCGAGATGTTGAACATCATGAGCATGCTGATACTAACATGAGCATCAAGGCTGGTGACGCGGGAGTCGGTGAAACCGTTGAGGTAAAAATACTCACGGATTCAGAAAAGGTGGCTCGGCTGCGTGCTGGCTATGGCTGGCTAGTCCCTTATGTCATTTCTGTGAACGATATTGTGACTTCAGTTGGCGCTGGTATGACGATTCGCTACTTCCCTCTATTCTTCATGAACGACTACGGCTTTTCCCCAATGCAGCTGCAGATCTTAATTGGATCGTATTCCATCGTTATTGGGATTTCGACGTATCTTTGCAACCGCACGTCGAAGATTCTGGGCCGGGTCAGAGCGTGCTTCTTGTTCGCTGGTATTGGCACAACCTGTCTCTACTGCTTATCGTCACTATATAACCTCCCCGCTCTGTTGGTGGTTTACTTCGTTCGTGGAGGACTCCAGAATGCTGTGTATCCCTTGGACCGGTCTCTGATTATGGACTATGTGGTGTCGAAACAGCGAGGGAAATGGAATGCGGTGGAGAGTATCACAGCGGCGTCTTGGGCGGGAAGTGCGGCACTTGGTGGTTGGTTATGTGATGGTCACGACTATCGGTATGCCTTCAGCATCACCGCGCATATCTACACCATAGCACTCTTGATGCGAATTCCACTGTTCTTTTTAGTGAGAGAGAACACTGGGGACCCTGAGAGTGCACAAAGTCGTCGTCTGTTAGAAGATAATAAGCAGAGTCAGTCTGATCGTTGTTATCATATGCACTGTTGTGAACTTTGTTCATTGCATATTTTACTTCTGTCGTTTCCTCGAGCTATTTAGATTTCTCGGGTAGAGG